ACTCGACTGATTTATAAACATGAAGCCGACAGCTATCGAACAGAAATCTTCAAATACAAATGACATTAATCTCTTTTTAATGATATTCCCCCGCACGAGCCTCCATTACAAGCTAGTTCCAGTCCAATACCAAATTACGAATATAGCTTTTTACAAGAATAAATCAGGTTTTAGATGTTTCCTTCCGTGCATTGTAAATAGTATTTTTTTTTACCTGATATTAAATAATTTATTGTAGGAACAAGTGCTTGTGAGCATCTACATTGTTATGGAGAAGCCATATCATGGTGTGAGAAGGGATTAGCAGTATCCTTTATAACATCAATTATTCATGTTCTTTGTCAGCTGTAAAGGGAAATACTATGTTACCTTCAGGGATTCTAGTGAAAGTTGTTAAGGGAGAAATCACAAAAAGCTGTGTTCTGTCTGCCTTATATAGATACCGCTAAAATCCCGCTAAGCGTAATAACTGGGCTCCAAGAAGCCCAATAGCTGTGGGTATGGTAGTTTTACGCTATTTACAAAAGTTACAATGCTTTCAAAGTAAATGTAATTGCAAAAACAAAAGGAGGACTTCTATCAAACCCCTTCTCCATTGTACAGTCTTGGGAGTATGGGTTATTACTTTAAGGGGCAACTTGATTGAAATACTTATGAGGAGAAACGGGTAGCCATCTCCGACTTAAAGGAAGAATCGTTTCAGGAAAGAATATAGACTTTGAAATCCAATTTCTATGCGCTGAGTTGCTTGTTTCCTGCGGTAAAAATTATGACTTCGCACTCTGACTCACACCTGAGGTCAAATCCCTTTATACTGCTACGAGCCGAATTCTCATACAAGTTGCCTACAACAGTAGCCTTGGTTCTTACAGCACGAAATAAGTCAGGTATTTAATTACTGGGCCATGTACAGCATTTTTCAACTGTTATAGGTGTGCTAGTTTACATTAATTTCTACCCACCCATGTTACTTACCAATTTTTAGTTTTACATAGCAATATATAGGTTAGTTTTTCGCGAATATATCTAAGGCCCTATGCCTGTGCTGTCTCGTGTCACTTGTGCGAAGAAATCCACTGCCAAACCAAACAAGTGTAATGCGAGCGTAGGATACATTTTCACTTCCGTTAACTTTACTAAAGAAATTCGATGTGGTCTGATTCAACCCTTATTACTGATTGATTGTTGTGATTTACCCTTGGAAAGTACGCATTATATGATGGTTTTAATCGGCTCATTGCAATCCCTAGATTTTCCTTATGTTAGGGAAGCATGTCGCTTTTTGAGACTTAAAGTACTTTCAACCCTTTATCAACAGAGTTTTTTTGAAACAGATTGTCGCCTAGTTTAGAATTCCATGTATTCCATTTCAGGGACGTTTACGCGGCTCTGTATTTAAGAAAAGTTGAGCTTAAATCTGTTGTTTGTTGCTTTATTTCATGGTTTGAAATGATACTGATATCAGAGGAATCAAAAACCAGTCAGCGAGAATAAGTTCCGGGTAATTCGCGAATTGCTTTAAAGTTTAGACTGTGTACATCCAGATGTATACAGGCTACTCTCATGCTAAGCCTGAAATGTAAAATAACAGATATGCAAACGATACATTTCCGGAAGCATTACGAAGCCAATTCGATCTTGCCTGATACCCCTGATCTGACCCATGGTGGTATATATATAGGGAGAGACCTAACAATTAGTTTTTGTGAGTTGCACCTGTTTGCTTATTCGCAGAAAATGCCCCTTAGAGGTTAGCTTTTAAACTACTCATAATCACCTTTGGTTTTTTTGTGCGTGACTGAAACCCGTCACTTCAACATTTTTAGCCTTTTACTTGTCGCCAAATTTAATTTAAGCGCATGCTAATTGCGTGAAGCGAGGGCTCGGACACTAATAAAATAAGATGCTAAAAATGGCCTGTCACAAATAGCTACAAATGCTTGAGTAGTCTCCACAGTCATTCCCGAACCCGTCAGAAACACACCAGTCCTCGCGGGAAAAAAAATAAGGTGTCTTGCATCTGTACAGTGTGGTTGAAACTCGTATTTCCAAAATCAATAGCAACAAACGTCGTCAATTCATCGTCGGTTTTATACCTGTCTGTCGTAGCCAAAATGCATTAACCCGCAAGTTGCCTGAACAATATCTATCTAGCTATCTATCTACCGCCCTTCATAGGAATCTTACATTAGGAACGCAAAGAATGGTTACTCACGAATGTCTTACACAGGACTGCACCGACGTCACTCCATATCCTCGTGTCCACGCGACTTTGGTCACGTGGACACGAAGATATGGAGTTGTTCGAGGTCTTGAAAATGCTGAAATTTTGTGCAAAGTTTGAAGTTGTACTACAAAAACAATTTCTGTGAGTCGTTGCGAATCACTTGAAATCAGGCGTTTATACCGTGAATTAAATAGCAGAAAGCGAGGAAATTCATTAGGTGTATTCCACAGAAACTCTCTCAAATGCACCAACAATCAGAGAGGTAAACTCGACTGAAAGTAACTCATTTTTTAGTGAAAATAGTAGGTCAAGAAAAACACAAGATGACACGCCATTACCGTGGCGAGCTACAAACAACCAAACAACTCTTACAAATAAAGCACTTGTTTGAATTTACTTACAGTGAGTTTCCTTGCCACTTTCAAGTGAATAGGGATAACCTTGTGTGGATTAGTCGTCGATGAAAGTGTAAAAAGGGCAAAGGTTGACGATTACCGCTACTTCACTCACGAAAATTGATCTAC